CTCTTGATACATCACAAAGACTTGCCGTCTTGGTCACAGATGCACCAGCAAGATGTGCACCAACAATTTGTCCTCTTTTGAACTCTGGTATGTCACCCATAATGTTGTGTGCATTGCAATATTTTGAGCCAAACTGTGCTCTTACCCTGCTAATTGAACCTTCACACTCTGCTCTTACTGGTGCAATGTGCAATTAATGAAGATTGGTCACCAGGCTGGTCCAATTTAGCCATGAAACATCACACACTAAAATGACAGGTGTTTCAGTTTCATTGTCTAACCCCTGAATGCGACTGTTACAGCAAATTGTGCAATAAAAATGGACAAGTTCAGGAATAAAAAGTTGTTTTTGGTATAACAAAAAATATTCCTTTCAGCAGATGAACTGTATTTGAATGTTGTTGTTTTTTTAAAGAAATAGGAAAAAAATCTAGCAAAGACCCAACAAGACCTGAGAAATGAAACCGCTTTCATTTGAGTATCGACTGCACGCCATGTTGATAGCTCTTTAGGAATCACCTTGTTGGTTCTAAAACTGTTTTATTTGTCAAACTGGGTTATCTTTAATGTTTTTCATAGAATCAGCTGAGTAAAATGGAAACAAATTGTGTCTTTATGACAAACTCTTTATAACAAAGTCCGTAAAGATTTAGTTCAAAATTGTCTCTTTGCAAAATGGTCTGTTATGTGTCAACACAAGACTGGTTCATGCTTTGAGCACTGAATCTTTCAGGCTTTGAAGGCTTCTAAACTCAGAGTTACACAAGTGGCTTAACAAACAAACAAGAACATTCCTCTGAAAATGGTCAACTAGTAGACTGAAAATGAGGGAAAAAAACTTTGTATGGTTGTAAACAAGCCCGAAGATATAAAAAATGTCAAACGATTATGAAAATATCTGGGTCCTGTACATATATTCAAAAAGCAAGTTTCTTCAGTTGAAGTGCAACATTGCAGTGGAAATCACCACTACAATAAACTAAATGTTTTATAGTTTTAGATGAATGTGCCCTTCCGCACAATATCAATATCAATATGCACAATGTCAAGCAAATATTTAAAATTAGATTTCTAGGGAAACAAATGTCAAAACTAAAAGTATTTATATTTAACATATAAATGCATTTTAAGCTCCTAACCTACAGCTAATAAAACTTCAACCAAGATCTGCATGGAAAACCAATAAAACAAGACCTAGAGTCTTGCCACACTGGTGTGTAAATTCGGTGCTAGGACTGCGGTCATATATTCCTTTTTAGATACAGTACTTAGCTTCTGCTAGCGTAAAGATGAAAATAGAAGTCAACAAAAATTGACCTAGCGTAGGAGGAGCAGCTAGGCGAGAAGCGGGAAGAGATGCTATTGGTTTTACAACAGTTACGCAACATCTCACTCGCCTCTCTCGCAGCGGAATGCCAGGATACTGTTTGTAAACAGAAAAGCCATGTGTGAATCCTCACGTGGAGGAAGCTTTGGAGTTGCTGCCCTTGCTGTCTCAACCCTGAGCTAAACCCTGACATCGATACATGCTCGCAGGGCCAATAACACTTCCTCCAGCCCTGCATGTCGCAGACAAGCCCTTATCATTCTCAGTCCATAATCACGAATCAGTTCGACTAACATTGGAGTGGACGGCATTGTGGAACAGGATGACCAGGAGTCACAGTCGGGATTCAGTGTACATTGAGGTCCTACTTGTCGATAAGGCTGATTAAACCATGGTCTGCAACAAGCTTGGGGTATGTAAATTAGTGATAATGAGCACGGGTTTTTTGCAGTTTTGCTCTGTTAAAAGGCATTTCTTTCAACACTTGAAGTTATTGAACTCTTAATAAACCCATTAAACAATGATGAAATTATAAACATCTTTAAAATGTTTTGCTACATTTTGCTTGCTTTGTAGCTACAAAAACCCAATAAATGGCAAAGTTGATGCAATGTTTTCACGACTGCACTGTTCTTAGTAAAGTTTGTAAAAATGCATCTAAACTGTACAGTGTACAGCACAGTGATTCCTCTGCACTAGATTGTGGCTTCCTGCTTTTCTCTAGATCACCGTAGAAAACAATGCCCCCATCCCTCCTGATAGCAGGCCACAGGGAAATCAATATACAGAAATCAATACTACTCTCTGCATCTCACCATTTTGTCTTGCAATATAAAAGTAGGGCAATCTAAAATGTCTAACCATTCACAGTGCTTGTTTTTGTGCAGTTTGTGCAACAGGCTACTGGGCGGAAAAATGACACTTGAGCTGGACGGATCGGGGTCAGAGGTGAAGGCTTGGGTAAGGGCTTGGGCTTTGTAAGTGGACAACATTGTTGTGGAACGCTATGGCAACTGGACATTCTTCCCAAAGGTGATATTGTCTTTGCCCCAGGAGTGACTTAAAGGGAGCTTACAGCCACGATGAAGGAGCAATCCAGCCGCGCAGCTTTATCTGTAGGTGTGGATAGATGAGAGCAGCTCTGTGCGTGTGATTGATTCACATGGCCCTTCCCCCTTTCTGCCCTCAGTAACCCCATTAAAGCTTGGTGCCTTTTCAGCTGCCGTGCAGAGATCCATGGAAATATATTTTCAAAGACTGTAGGGTTATTGTTTCAGGTCAGGGCTAGCATTTTAAAATCCTGCATTTATTGCAGCTGAATGTAAAATAAAACAAATACTACAGCAGCACAGTGACTATTGGTGATATGATTTCCCATCACAAAGTCATGTGGGTTGGACTGAGGGAGTTATAGTCTTTTGTTCAGGACTTTCATGGAATGTTCTCTACAAAATTTTAGCATGGCTATGGGGCAGTGGTACTGACATAATTATGTACATGCACCAAATCATGGATCACCTGATCTCAGGCAGTCACAACAAGAACTACAAGAACTCATCTTATGTGTTGTGTTGACACTCCAGTCAGTGGCCATGTTTGCAATATCAAAACAATGAAAACCTTTTGTATCAGGTGAGTGCACCACAAAAAGCTAGATGTTACAGTGTTCACAGACAACTTGCTTGGTGCTATTGTGACAGGTCAAACTGCTGTCTTTATTTTTACTTGCCTGTTCTTGTTTTTCCTTCTTCAAAAACCCTAACCCATTTTACTCCTGAGTCTCAACAATCCTCACTATTAGGTGAAGGTTTCTGATTATTTAAAACTGTGGAGCCCTTTGTTGCTCCTGCAAACACATTACACTGCTAAAGGTCAGTTATTACTCACCATGTTTCAGGCTTACTTTTACTTTACTCTGTGACCTGAGGCATAATGCAGGCAACATGATGACAGTGGTCAGCAGAATACACAGTGCAAACACACAAAACCAGAGGGAGATCTCTTGTATTCAAATAGACCATTCAGATGTTAATCATAGTGTTTGTGAATGAGAAAAAACAACTAACAAATAAGCATTTACTAATTGAAATGAAGCAGAAGATCCAATGTGTTGTTGTCACATGTATTAAATGTAGGTGATTACCTCACTGCTCTAAGATAAGATAAGATAAGATAAGATAAGATAAGATAAGATAAGATACGATACGATAAGATAAGATAAGATAAACTTTTATTGTTATTGTACAGAGCACATTGAAATTACAGTTCAGAACACCAATTCACAAGAAAACAGAACATAAACTATTAATGCAAACTAAAATGTTTTTTTATTAATCCTTTATTGTTCACACATAGAAAGTCACTGACCTTTTCTATCAGTAACACATCATTATTAGCTCTATTTTCAGGAGCACATCAGACATATTATATTTGTAAAGCTTGTAAACCATAAAGTATGAATGAGTCTACTTTTTAATTTAGTTTAGCTAAATTATTATGTCATATTTAACCACAAATAGTATTTAGTACAATAGATTTTTATTGGTTTGGATAAAGTTTGTACTCACATTTAGTTGTAATTTTAGTGTTTATTAGTCCATTTATATTGCAATCGTGGTGTTGTTTTTTTTTGTCGATAACCCATTCTATTTTTGCATTATTTTTCTTACTAATTACTATGTTGTTTACTTAAATAAATGAATCTATTTCATCTAATAAACCTTCTTGATGAAACGTTTTCTTTGTTCTCAATTAAAAACCAATTGTTTAGCTTTAAATAAAAAATATAGATAATAAAAACAAATTCTTGTTTTTCTCACTTAATGGGGGCAGAAAGGTTGTGTTTTATTTTCCCTCAGAGTTTTCTGACCTTGTCTGTCCACCTAAAAAATCCTGCCACCCCAAGTCTCCTCTCATTTGCTTTTGCCTGAGCCTTGCCTTTGTGTCTTTGTGTCATTTAGTGGTGAAAACGATCAAAGCTGATCCACGGAGATACACAAACCCAGAAGCTATTTCTGTTCTACCGTTGTGCACTATTCACTCAGTGCTTGTCCAGGTTGTACTTTTACTCTGACACATGATACTGGACAGGCTACATTCATAGTGATAAGTATGAAAATGAGGGTGGAAAGGAAGAGAATACGATCTGTAGCTAAAAAACATGTAATTATTGTTTTATAACTACTTAAATAAACATATCAAAATTGTGTCAAATAGTGCAAAATTCATTCATATTTTAGCACATAAAATTATAGAATGCCTAAAGATATATACTTTTTATGTGCCTAAAATAGTGAGGTTGAAATGTGAAAACAGAGTATGGTACAGGTATTTAAATTATTCCAGACAAAAAACTCCTGATCAAGCAGTGTAAGCTCACCATTTTCTATCATGCCTTTAAAAGCAGCAAGAATCTGGAGAGAATGCAGCAATCAAAAGAAAATAGTGTTTTTTTTTATTCCTGCTTGGCAAAAACAAAAAGATAATTGTCAGCCATGTTGGAGTAGCTTTATCTAATATCCTCTTTTATTATGCTGGTTCTTGCTTTGTACCGTGACGGACATCTACTATGCTTCATTTGATTATAAATAAAACAAAACAAACACTACAAATACTCTGAAGGTTACAAGAGGAAAAGGTCAACAGAGGATTAACATACCAAACACAATCTCACCTTCTTTTTATGTCCCTCCACTTTGTAGAAATTCCAACAAACCGTCTGGATCGCCTCTTTAACAAATCCTAAAGGGCAGCCATCTTGCCTCCTTCTGTTCTATGAAACAGTCTATCCTCCACATCAATATTCATGGAAACCAGCCTGACGTTGGCTCTCATCGTCAGGAGCAGCCCGGGTGTCGCTGTTTTGCCGGCTTGAGAAGAAGTACACTCATATGTCACTCTGTGGTGAGGCAGCTCTGGCACATGAAGCAAACAAATGTAGCTGCAGCCGTAAGAGGCTAGAAGAGTTTGGGGACAAACTCAAAAAAGAAAAACAAAAATCACTTTCTTGTTCAGTTCTTCTCACACAAAGAGACAGGTTTTCTTTCCCCCCTCAACTCCCTCTTTTTTTTCTCCTCCTCTCAGCCAGCCGTACACAATAGTGAACACTATGATGGCTGCACTGAAGCACTGGAGTGGATTCTGTGAAGAAAGCAGGACTCCACCCCCAGTGAACTTTGTGTTAAATATTGCACAGGTCTAAACGGACTGAAACAAGAGCAGAAACTGCCTCCACCCCCTTCCTGTTCTCAGAAAGGAAGCCAAGTGACTCAGGGTTTTTCCCTCCCTTTTCTGTTGGTTTAGCTTGACTTCTTTCTTTTTTTTGCTGGAGGTTGAAAAACATCCCTTTAGGTGTAAAAGTGCCTTTTTATGAGAAGACGACAGTTAACAATCACAAGCAACTTTAGCGTCATCACAAACAACTGCTTCTTATATTGGGACATGTCTGTGGGCTGGCTTCATTTTTAAAGTGAGGAGTAAGACAACTGTGCAGCCTGAAAGCATACGTTATGTCTGCCAAGATCCACCTCCTGTTGACACTGGCCACGTGGGCTTAAAGCTGCATGTGAGATAAAGTAGCTGTAAAAAGACTCATTCAGCCCTGCCGTGATAACAGAACTAGAAAGGTTCTATGATGAGGGAAACATGAGCATGTCTGCTACTTTTATGCAGAACTCCAAGACAAAAGTTCTGCTTTTGATGTGTTTTTACTTTTGTAGCTTTGATGTCATGTTCAGAATCTAAAATGTCAAAGCTCTAATTGAAGTGGGCATGTCACACTTTCATTTAGCTATTAAATTCCTCCGTTAGGAACAAGTGTGTCTTCTCTAAAAATAATCTGCTTTTAGCTGCGTTTCAGGCTTAAAAGCAGACCCCACCTCTTTCCCAGAAGCCCCTGCCTGGCTGCAGTGACATTTGTTGACTCAATACTTTCAGAGCAGAAAAGGAGATTTGTTTTTACACAGATGGGGGGAGGGGAGGAGGCAGAAAGGAAGGAGGAGTCATGTCTAGACGCCAACACAGATCCTTCAAAGATGGAATTACTCTTCCACATTGTGCTACTTAGGGGAGGAAAAACTGGTTTACCATATTGATAACATTGATAAAAATAGCATCTCTTTAAAATGTTTTAAGCAGTGAAAATAGTGTGAATAGATTGTTCTGATGTTACAACAAAACATGACAAAAATGTCTAAAATATTTGGGCAAGCAATAAAATTCAGAAGACAGGAATTATAGAGATAAAAATACAAAAGAAGGGTTGGAATAATGGCTTTTCCCCCCTTTTATTGCTCTTATTTGAATTGGCTTAGTGTGAACCACAGCTTACTAGTTAATAATTAGAAAACTAAAATGATCAAACGGTTGAAGAGACCATCTTTAACTGCAATCAAAGCTGCCCCAAGCAAGGCCATAAACCTGTCACTGCCACTACTTTACAAAGTGTACCTCTGATCCAAGACTTTTTGTCGTTTTTTGGACGGGTCTGTGTCCTTCCATCTCTTTGTTTCCCCAGGCAAATGCTGAAAACAAGAAAGGGAGGTCAGTCAGCATTTAGTCTTGGTCTACAACAAAGACAATGAACCAAAAACTGGATGTTCTGTATATTTCTTATGTTGCAGTAATGCTCTTATACAACATACAGGTTTATCTTTCATTCAATGACTAAATTTGATTATCAAACACAGAAAATTAATAAACATTTCTATAAAATTCTGAAGTTACACCAAATTGTTTAGCATTTGGCATTATTCCATACATTTTCCAGTTTTAATTTCTGGTCATCTGCAAAAGGCAGAAAGTATTATTTCACTTGCTTCTCAGCACAGACACATTGATCCAATGAACACAGGTACAGCAATGATATCAGTATCAAACGGAGGCAGGACAGATGTCATCGCAGCTCAGTCTGATCACATCAAGTTTGTGTGCTGATATGATTGACTGAGGTGCTTTTATCACCCCATTTTTTAAGATTGACTTCAATAAACCTAAAAAAAAATTATAAACCTGAACTACCTAATTCACCGTGCTGAGTGCCAGTTTTTCAATTTCACTAAAATATAATATAATGTGTCAGTAATTCTTTGCGAGTTGTTTATGTCACCCTCAAGAAAGTAAAAGTTTTAGCATAATTAGCAGTCCAGTCAGCCTCTTGCTGAGCTGCTTCCTCTGACAGCTACTGTAACCTGTAAATCACTGATTATCTTGTCATTTACTCTCAACTTGTTACATTTCAAAGGAAAGCCGGCGTGTGTCATCACCTCGTGTGTAAACACAGAGCTGTGACCCCACGGTGACCCCAGGGCAATCAGAATTTAGGCACACTTATCACTTGTTTGCTTTCACACCTAAACTGGCATTACTATACGACTTCGACTGTATTAACTGCTATTGATTTACACCAGACCCAAGTAAAATCTGTGCTTCTGTTTCGAGCTCTGAGTCTCTAAAAGTAGGAAATGTTTAAAGTGTTCTGCTACTTTCTGAACAAGCTTTTTGTTTTATTTTTTTTAAACAGAGAGGCTGCAGAGCCTGCACAAAGTTAACCAACGTAACGAATTGGTAACATCAATATTACTATTAAATCATTAACAAAAGGGTCTGCTTGGTGGTCAGTAGTGTGGTCTATTGAGGCTGCAGGTTTGAGTCCAGGCTGCATCAGGAAGGGCAATCAGAGTAAAATAATCACCAAATCTTTCATGCGTGTTGACTCAAGCAGGTGAAAAAATAAAATTAAATCAAAACAAGTTTTTGCCAAAAAAGTTATTTTTGATTGAAAATTTATACATACATATTCTACATCTTGTAGACATGGTGTCATGTTGAAGGTTTTTTTTTATATATTTGCTGTGAACCATTTAGACCCTAATGAGGTAAAGACTTTCACTTAAGACAGATTTGTGATGCATCTACTGATTTACAGCCGTCTTTACTTTGGGTTTCAAAGAGGGGGTGGGTATTTAAGGCTGCTCTGAGAGCAGACAGGGCTCACTGTGAAGCTGAGAAAAACAGCACCTCTCACAATCGTGTGTGATACTCCACACATCTCACCTGGGGCAATCTAAACACACAAGTCTTTATGTAGGGTAGTCCTCTGCTTGAGCCAATACACAAAACATGACCCCCACCCCCCAATCTCCCTAACAAGATGCCATCCAGCACTGCCCCTCCTTCTGTAGTTATCAAGGGAGAGTCGTTAGTGAGGGGTCTCACATAGCCTAGTTGTTTAAGCCCCAGCAGGGAATGTGGTCCAGACAGGATGGGGGTGGGTGGGAAGTATAGAGAATAACTGGAAATCTATTAATTTATATTATTTATGCATGATCTAAAAGGAAATACGAGAAACATTTTTGCACTATTATTCCATACATTGTACTTTTGTTACCATAAGACTGGATCCAGTTTCACAAATATCCTGTGCACATAGATGTATGAGAGTGATTCAAAGATTGACTGAGTTCCTCCCTGGGCACAGCAGGGTTGAACAGAACCACTGTTATTCCAGAGGAAACCAACTGCTTCTGAGTGTTTAAAGAATTGGTTCCTGCATTCATGGTCTGAAAGCCTCCATCCTGGCCCTTCCACCCGGCCCAGCTGAAGGCCGTTTACGGTACTTTACCTCCAACAGTCAACTCAAACCAAAAGCATATGGACATTTAAAACATTTATGCGCTGCTCTTCATGCTCAGCAGCAGAAATATAAGCATATCTTCACATCTGAGCCGATTTGGGCAAATAAAAAACACATTTTCTATTGATAAAAAGCACAATTTAGATTTTAGAGTTTTGCATTCTTAAAGTTGATATACAACCACATGTATGGTTCCAAAGATTCCGACTGAAACACATCAAGGAGCAGAGGTTGACCCCTGCTGGTCATGCAAGATTATCTAAAAAACATTTCATCCCTCTTTAAGGTGACAACATATTTTAAATAGGGCTGCACAATATATAGTCATCGAGATAACAGCCTGTGCAATAGGAATATCGCAAAAAACTCTACTCTATAAATTGCAATAAAAGGTTGGCTTTAATGTTTGCATTTATAGTATGCGTTTTGTCAGCATTAGTCTGATAAATGGAACAAACCAGAGATACCACATCAAATCATAGTGTTGTCATGTTGTAATGGAAATGATGCATTAGTTTGTTTTTTGTTTGCTCTGAACCCAGAGCAGAAAGACATAAAAACTGCATACTTGAGTATTTTTTAATTTATCACAAGTCGTACCGTCATCTCAATATTAAGTGTTGTTATCGCACATCGCAGGTTTTTCTGATGTTTCCAGTACTAATTTTGACAACCCATTTCCATCATTTAGTTTAAGTAAAGAGTAAAAAAAGGTGAATTACAAATGGTGAATGTAGTGATAAAGTTGCTGAAGTGAAAAAAATAGGGATCTCTTTTCAATACTTTTTTAACACAAATTTGTTTTATTTAAAATAAATAGTTGTTTGTTTTCAACGCAATAAAACTTCTTATTTCAGTTGTGGGAACCACAGAATTCTTCCACTGTGTATTTTAGTGTTGTCTGAATGGATTAGCTTTTTTATAATATCCTTTTTTTTTCTTCTCTAAATTCAAAGTGAACATTTTTTGTTTCTTTACTTAATCATCCTTTTTGGATGTATTTGTAATTTCAATACCGAAACTACTTTTTAAAACATGCTCTTTTCATTAACTTCTCTGTATTCTTGCTGAAATGGCAATAATGCTTTTTTTATATGTTTGTGTGAGTGTGCTTGTGTATCTATTTGTCATGTTATTCAAATATCTCATTAACTATTGGACAGTTTAATGAAACTCTAACAAATTAATCAATGGATGGGCATCTACTATGTGACTTTTAAAGTCAATCTAATTCAAGATGTCTGCCAAAGCTAAGCATCCTAAAAAACCACATAGGCTGTGTCCAAATTCAGAGGCTGGGTCCTCCAAAGGCCGAATTCGTCATTGTTAATACTTTTGTCATTTGAATATAGATGTTTTTAAATATTATTTTTTTGTCAGAAATAAAAACAAGCTGGTATATTGAAATAAACATCCA